CAAGCATTATCAAATAATTGGATCTCAATATTATTAGGAGATTGGAATGCAGTATCCAATCCTAAAATAGACCGCTTCCCAGAAAGAAAACAAACCTCACCAGAAGGAAGTATTTTACAATCGATTATATACAGTGGATATATTGATACCTACAGATTTATCAATAGTGATAAACAAGAGTATTCATATCATCAATACCATAACAACGTACTCAGAAGCCAAAGCAGAATTGACTCAATATGGATACATGACGCCAATAAAAATATGATAATGAATACAAAAATTGTAGATACGTCTCTAATCATTAAAAGTGATCACTCATGTGTGACAATGACAATAAATGTACAGAAATACTGTGACAAAGACAACTTTGCGAAATATAAAAAGATGAATTACCGAATACCACGATTATGGAATTTAAAGATGGCCGACAAGGAAAATTGGGAACAATTTACAACACAAGTAGAACAAACATCTAAACAATATCTTCTATCACATAATGATAATAATAATACAGTAGAATCAATATGGCAATCACTTAAGTCAATATTGATTACAGCAGGTAACAAAAATTTACCCAAAGCTAAAGAATCAAAAAACCATACAAATGTTATATGGTGCAAACATCCAAGTTATCCATTATTAAATCTAGCAAATAAATTATATAAACTGGGAAGAAAGCTAAAAGATAACAAAAACCCAAATAAATCGAATCAATCCCTTAGCTCGATTTCTAAGATAATTTCAAAACTCACTATTACCCATAATGTGAATATAGATCCATATCCTTCAAATGATAATGAACTAGATCAAGAAAGATGGATAGAAAATATAAAACAATGGTGGACCATTACCAGAAAGATTGTCAAACGAGATCTTATAAGGGAAAAACAACGTGAAATCAAACAGAAAATCGAAGTGAGACAAACTATGCTGAATACAAAACCAAAATCTATGATAGATCGAGTTTTAAATCGAGAATCAAGACAAATTGTCCTGAACAGGATTATACAAAACAAAAATGATAATACTGTCACAATAATCACCAACCCTGAACAAATTAAAAGTTGCGTACAAGAACATCTATATCAGTGAACAGAAGGCACTGAAATTGTCAACACTACGCTAAACCAAAGATGGACGCAACAATATAAACCCATAACTGATATCAAAGATAATACCTATAACTCACTAATAGCAACAATTTACGAGGATGAAGTTGTCAAAATCATTAAACTTATGAGTAATAATAAAGCTCCAGGGCCATCATTAATACCTTACGAAGTATTTAAACACTTAGAAGAGAATGGCATCAAGTTACTTTACCTACTCTATAACAAAATAATAGAAATTGGAGCAGTCCCAAAGGATTGGATAAACAGCAATGTAACATTAATACCCAAGTCTAAAGACTGGGAGGGGAACTTAGAAATCACACGACTGATTATGCTCATGGAAACTGCAAGGAAAATCTTTACAAAAATAGTCACAATAAGATTATCAGATATATTAGTTGAAAACAAAATATTAACAGAAAATAACTACGCTGGTCTCTCAGGAGGAAGAACATCATATCCAATACATATTATTAATAATGTAATAGAAGATGCAAAAGAAGACAATAAAGAACTCTGGCTTTTATTTCAAGACATAAGAAAGGTTTTCAATTCGGTCGATGCAAATATGATAAGCCTAGCGCTAAAACAACTAAAAATTCCAACAGCTATCATAAACATAATTAATTTCATAGAAGAAAATCGTACTGGACAAGGAATAACAGAATATGAATTGACAGAACCATACAGAATACTTAAAGGAGTAGACCAAGGAGACGCAATCTCGCCACTCTTATGGTGTATTTTTTATGACCTTTTATTGGCCAAAATTGAATCCATAAATAAGGGCTATAATATGGAACTCAAATGGAGAATAGACATGACCCTACAAGAACAAGTATACGAAACACAAAACATATCATCCTTGGCATATATGGATGATACAGTATGGATTACACAAAACAAACAACAAATGCAAGAAATCTTAGAAATAGTTCAAGAGTTTTTTGACATTAACAAAATAACTGTTAATGTATCTAAATCGAACTAATCCTCGTAAACGGACACAAAGAAGACTATAAGAATGGAATCGATTTTATGGAAAACAAAATAATTCCAAAAAAACCCTCTGAAGCAGTTCGATACCTAGGTATCTGGATACAAGAAAACGGGAAAAAAACGTACCAAAAAAGTTTAATAAAAGAAAAAGTTTTCAGAACTACATCTATATTGAATAGAAAACAGCTTACAGATAAACAAAGCCGCTACATCCTGAATCATGTTCTCTTTCCACAAATAGAATACCTAATGCAAGATTTAGTATATTCAGAAAAAGATCTTGAGAAGCTTAATGCAAAAATAAGATCATGTTTTCGTCGTTC